AAAAAGACATACACAATAAGTGATTAGAACATGATAGTCAAATGTGTGGGTTACATACATGATATGGAGTTAAGCAATGATACTGATATAAAAAAGTCTTTTTTAGTTCATTTTGGTGCATCTACATCTGTAAAAGACAGTTTCTGTATCATTCTGTGAACATAAGGACATGTTCTGTGAAGACCAGAGGTTAAAAGGTCTCATAAGGAATCTCAGTCTGATCTTTGTCTTCTAGGTGGGGGAAACCAATCCAAAGAGCTTGTGATCGTGATTACTATCATGGATTTACATGTGATGGTCATGCTGTGCATCTCTTTGACCATCAATCTTGATTACTTGCCCCAAAATTGACAATCTCCTTCCTGAATTGTTCTTTTGTGTTAATGTTGCAAGCTGTTCTGTGAAAGATTTGGTTAGTTAGGCTTGCTTCAGACTGATTTACGAACATCCTGTTGTCTTGGGCCTTTCTGTGGAATTCGGCTCCTCGTGTTTCAACCATGTTCTTGATCGAATCTTAACTTGTCTGAGTCGCTCTGATACCCTACATAAATATATCCGTTGCATTGACAGTATGCAAATGTTTGTGTTGGTTTGAATGCAGTAACAGCTGTTCTTTCAAATCAAAATGTTTATTGAACAAAATGTTTCTAATTTTTAGGCTTTTAAAAAAGAATTGGCAACTGGTAAAGCATCTACTCGGAATAATCAATGATGGACCTCTGAAAATTATGTAGACCACTACTTTCTGTCATGCCTGTTAATTCATCTCAATGGTCAGTTAGTCATTTATTTAGCTTGTACCAAAGAAATATTTCAGAAGCTTTAACTCTCGCTAAAATGCTCTTGTGTGTAGAACTACTTTTCTATGCCACCGATTCACCTTCTTGCTTAAAAACAGCCGGTATTGTGCTGCAATTTTGAAGCAATAATCACAACAAAACAAAAGCAGGTAAAAGATTTATAAGACACTGGTATAATTAATTTGACTCCATTAAATTACTGACTCCATTGTTGTTATTACTTAACCCCTTATTGTTTAAAGGTAAAAGTTTTTCTTAGAACTGATATGAAAACGTAGGGTTTAACCTGACCATTATTCTGAACCAGATTCTCTGTGACTTACCATGCAGAGGATTTAGAGTTGGTTTAGAGTTGGTGTAACTCAGAGGTTTAGAGTTGAATCGACAAGGATCTAAACACGTTTAGATTTAATTACCTATACTGATTAATGACTGCGTGAAAGTTAAAATCACTTCAGCTTTCTATCAGTGATTTTATATATATATATATATATATATATATATCATGTGTTTAAATGCAGACAATGGAAAAGAACAACATACTGTATAGAAAAACTGGCTGTAACAGCCAATGCACTGCCTAGTATGAGGTAATTCATGGAGTGGTAGAGTCAAGTCAAGTCACCTTTATTTATATAGCGCTTTTAACAATACAGATTGTGTCAAAGCAACTGAACAGCATTAATTAGGAAAATAGTGTGTCAATAATGCAAAATGACAATAGGTAATCAGATCTAGAGCAGCAGATTGGTAGCCTTATCCTAGATCAACAGTTACCTTTCCTTCTTAAACTCTGAGCAAAGCATTGTTAAACATGAGTGGAATACAAACTAACACCAAAACCTGGAGGTAAATGGGTGGGGATCTAGAGGGTGAGAAGTGCATTAACATACTCTCCTCAATGAATGCTTATTTGACTATCTCTACTGAGAAAGAACATTTTATCTCAGAGCAAATTTGAATAAAAGTCCTTCTTCGTTTAATTCAATTAAAGGGTATAATAAACTTGAGATATGTTCTTGGAAAAAAAATTGGTCCTCAAGTAAATTTATCTTGTTTTAGGTTGCACTTTATTTTACAGTGTACAGTGTTACAATATAATTATACATTTATATACTGAGTGATCTTAATTATATTAACTTACTGTATGGTTTGGCTTAAGATGAGGGTTTGGTTTAGGTTAAATTGCATGTAATTATGCATAATTTGTTGTTATTACTATAGTAAGTACATGTAACGTGTAACAAGGATACGGTAAAATAAAGTGTCACCTTGTTCTATCTTGTTTGTTTCTTCTTCTTTTTTTTGACAAAAAATAACCAATTAATTGCTTCTTGAAAGCCTTCACTCAAATGCTATGTATTGGTGCTATAGTTGGTCTTTGAATGCAGAAAAACACACCAAGGCAATCATATGTTTGAAAAGAGGGAAAAAAATAAGTGCATGGAATACAATGAACAATTAATTTACTTTACTAGATTCATTTAAAAACAAATCATTGATAAAACACCACTTGGGCTTACATTGTCTGCCTGCTATATATTTTAAACCATTACGTCCCATTAAAAAGTGTGGCATTTTATAAATTAGAAGCTCCACAGGATTAAGACCTAATTAACCCTACGATCTGCATGTGACAGCAAAAATAGGGCTGTAGTCAGCCACTCAGCCTCTATGTAGACCATATCGGCCTGGAGGAGGAGAAGACGCTCTGTGCCTCTGCACTCTCTCTGTACCTGCAGCATAAAAGGAAATGTGTAAGCCTAGGGCATCCTGTGATATTCAGCCATCCATTACGACCTGGACTACAACTGAGCCAGATTCGGGGTCAGTGAAAAACAGAGGGAAAAGAAGATCTTGCAAGAAAAGAAGAGAAAGTGATTAGAAATTAGGAAAATGGAGAGACTAATAGTGTGATAAAGAGTAAAGCCAGAATATACAAACACACAGACTTCAATGTTTGGCCAAGTGTGAAGCTGACTTGAAATTGGACAGTAAAAAAAGACCGTTCCCTTTCAAGGGAACTTCGAACTGCGTCCTCTATGGGGAACGTCTCGTCGTGACCCGTGTCTGAAGCATACATTGAAAAAACACCAACAACACGTTGGCCGGCGACAGCCCATGACGTCACTACCGGTGCGACTATAGTATAAATAGGCGCCGGGAGAACATGTCATTCTCTTCTTCGTCTTCATTGACTGTTTTGTTTGAAGCGTGCATTTGAACGTGGTAAGAGCGATCTACTATCTATTATTATGGCGAGCACTAGCAGAACGTTTAGAGGATGTGTGCATCCGTGTC